GGATGAGAGGAGCTGGCTTGGGGGCCAAGGGGAGTTCCTATGGTGTCTCCACAGCAGATTCCTACAAAGACGCGGTGCGGAAAGCCATGTTTGCCCGCTTCACAGAGATGGAGTAATGTGCTGTGGCTTGCGAGCCTGCAAAGCACTTGTTGGCCAGAACTGACTGTTAAACCCTGTAGCCTTGCTGGCCTGGCTGTGTTCTGATTATGGGTTAGAGTTGACCATTTCATTCTCTTGGACTTTTCCCCTCTCTCAGCCTTTTAACACTTCTGTGAGTGAATTGTCAGAACTGTCCCAACTTCATGCTGGAGAGCTCCTAGCTAGACCAAAGGGGATGCTGATCTTTATACGGTCTTGTATATAGTGTAATGTATTTTGTTTGGAGTGTGTTGTCTCACTGCCGCTCCTGCCCTCCAGAGCAGGATGTGTTAGTTGTGGTTTCACACTGTCTCTGCTCTCCTTTTGTTGTATTGTCTTTTTTTTTTTTTTTTTTGAGAGAGAGAGAGAATTTTCCTGTACATTTTGTAAGATACATCTTTGTATAGACTTTTTGAAGACTTTGATCCTAGTTGGCCAGTTTGGGCTCATTTCCAAAAGAAATACATCCAAAAAAGATCCTATTTCTGTTTCTCAGTGGGTTAATGAAGAATAAGTTGCCAACGCTACTTGTCCTTTCTGTGGTTCTGCTTGTTCCTTGCCAAGACCTCATCCTACCATTGCACATACACCCAGATCACTTGCAACGTCCTGTAATCTCCCCAACGGTGCCGTGGCTGCATGGGGGCAGCCTCCCTTCTGTAAAACCCTGGCTGCGTGGTGGGAAGAGGGCAGCCAGCCTGTCTTGCCTCAGAGGGTGGTGTGTGATGAGCGTAGCACAAGAATTGACTGTCCTTTGGGGTATAGCCTTGTGGGGCTGGCAGGGAAAGGGTGAGTCAGGGCAAGTGCCTTTTTTTTTTTTTCTCCTGAGATTACTTTCTTTCCTTACAGCTGTTAATTTAGCCCCTGCTTCTCTCTGTGTTCCTTGTCTGGCCCTTTTTGAGCATCCTGAGACAGTAGGTGGGCTTTGGCCCTGGAGGGGCCAGCTGTGGGACCTGGTGGGGGCTTGGTAGCATCTGAGGAACAGGCTAAAGCCATTGCTCATGCTCGAGATCTGAGTGAGGAGCAGGAGAGCCAGAAGCCAACTGTGCCTGACTCTTTATCCACCTTGTCTCTGGGGTTGGCTGGGATCTCTCTTCTCACCAGGGCAGTACTCTGGGTCAGCGTTTGCAAGGGGCACAGGAAGGGCTCCGCTTACAGAGCTGCAGCAAGGGCAGCTCATCATGGCCCCCATGCCTGCTACCGCCTGCTGAAGGTTCTTCTGTTGACTTGTGCCTTGGTCCTGTGGTTCTTCCCTGCAGCTGAGTTCTGTGCAGACCAAGTCAGGTAGGAAAACTCTTCACCTGAATCGGGATGCCCTGGAGATCTTAGATCTTGCACGGGCGAAGCTTAATGCTGTCCCCCTGGTCTGGTGTTCCTTGGATTCCTGGAATGAAATTCCTCCTTGCACAGGCTTCCTGGCATCTTTCCTGGTGAGGTAGTGATCCCCTGGGTGTGAGCACCAGCGCCTTGCGTGGCCATAAGCCATGTGAAGCATTACCACCTTGTTGCACCTTTGCTGCTTGGTACTGCGAGGAGCCACTTCATTCCCCATGCCTGGTGAGCTCCCTGGGCGAGTTTTGCAGGGTGCTTCGTTGTGGGGGCCAAGCCTGGGGCCTGGCTTTGGCTGGCAAAGAGGATCTTGCCTTTCTTCAGCGCTGAGCTGCCGCGCTGGAGCTCTGCGCACTGACCTGGAGCAAGGTGCCATCCTGACTACATTGGGGTGAGCAGAGAGGCTCCAACAGGCCTTGGGGGACCGGGCTGGCGGCTTTCCAGAGCCTCCTCCTGAGGAAGATGCTGTTGGGCAGGGTCGCCTGTCAGCAGGGCTGGTGGTGCCGCCAGGTGGCAGACGTGGCCCAGCTGTGGTGTCTGGTTGGATGTAGCGCAACGCTCTGGAAAACTGGGCTCTGAAATAGGCGGTGCAAAGGCGCAAGCAAGGCGATGTTCCAAGGCACTGGCTCGTGGAAGCAGTCAGCTTTGCTGGGTTGCCCCGAAGGAGGATGTGCTCCCCTCGCAGGAGGCCTTGTGCTTCGCTTCTGCCACATGAGGCATGCAACTATGAGGCAGAGAAATTCCTCTGCGTGTTCCTCAGTGCACTGCCTGAAGCTGTGCTTCCTGCATATGAGGATCATGGAGTCATTATGGTTGGAAAAAGACCAGCAGGATGACAGAGTCCAACCGTAAACCCTGCAACACTGTGCTTGTTAAACCACATCCCTGAGCGCCTCGTGTACGTGTTTCTTGAACACTGCCAGGGACGGTGACCCCACCACGTCCCTGGGCAGCCTGTTCCAGTGCTTGACTTTTCTCCCCAAACTGTGCTTTCCTGCAGCTCCAGCCAGTGGTGAGAGTAGGGGTCAACAGAGGCGAGGCCAGGCAAGCAAGCCCAGGACCTGGTTCCCCCCAGGCAGGGTCCCTTACTTGGCTTGAAGCAGACAGGAAACAAGGCAGGTGTGGATGAACCAAGCAGGCCACCTCTGTGCCTGTTCTTCCCCCTCAGGAAAAAAAGCGGGATGATGTCAGGGAAAGACAAGCCTAACACCCTAGCTGGCCCTGCTGCTGCCCTGGCAGGCTCTCTGTTTCCCAGTGTGTCGCAGTGAAGGTCTTTGTTCCTCAGGTGCTGGGCCCTAGAGGGTAGGGGGTTGTTTCCCAGCACGTGGGCTCAGCAGGTCCATGGTGTATGTTGCTGCAGCTTGGCTCTTTGCAGGCTCCTGATCGCGCTCGGAGCATCTCCTCCTGCACAGGGGTTGCTGAGCATGCGCAGGGGTCCCTGTTGCTGGCAGGTGCTTTGCAGGGGCCTGTCCTTTCCTCTGAGCCAGGCTGCAGGAGGCCAAGGAGGGTTATGGCCCTTCAGGCCCAGATGTCGGCTTGCCTAAGTGCCCTGAAGATGAGAAGTAGCACCTGTTTGTGTGGGGACAGCAGCAGGAGGGGGCAAGCTGTTTGGTCTGGTCTAGCTCCTGGGCTGTGCTGAGGGGTAGGAGCCCAGCCCCTGCTTCCTGTCAGCCCCTTTCCTCCTTGCTGCGTGTTCAGCTCGGGGGGCTGGAGCTGAACCCTCCTTGAGCACTGTTGTGCTTCTCTGTGCTGGGCAGAGCTTTGTGGCCAGGGGTGCTGCAAGGGTGCACGGGGTCCTCTGAGGAGCTGCTGCTTCTTGTCTTCAGGCTGGCACCAAGCTCCCCCAGCCCCTCGGCAGCCAGGACAGCCCTCTTCCCTGGTGGGGTTGAGGTCTGTTGCTGATCTAGCCCAGCTCCTGGAGTCCCACTTCGGAACCCCTTGGGGCAAGGCCTTACTTGAGCTGTGGAACCACTCGCACACCGCATCCTTGTGATACGTGAATGGGTCAGATACCCTCTGTTTCCTTTTTCACAGTGGCCCTCATCCCCTTCCCAGCACTCTCAGGAAGAGTTGTGACTTCAGGGGTGCTCCAGGACTGTGGAGGGGCCCCTTGGGGCAAGGTCCCCTGTTTCTGGCAAGGACTTGCAGGGTAAGTAGTTGCAGAAACTGCCTCCAAAATATTGCTCCCCAGGTCGTCTGGCTGGGGCCTCTCTATTACTCTGTAAGCAGAACATGGAATCCTGTCTGTTGCTGTTAACTGGTGACCGTTCTTAGCCACTGTCTTCAATTGTGGATGCGAGGCCACCAGAGCCTGCTTGTCGGTGTCGTCCTTGGGTTTCCATCTGTCTACAAATTAAGACTGGGGGTGAGTGGCAGCAGGGTGAATAGTAGAGAAAGTAACTCCTGCAATAAGTGTCTCTTTCTAGGGACGTTCCAGGAAGTGTCCTTTCTATGTGTTCCTGCTTGAGCAGGGGGTTTGGACTAGATGATCGCTAGAGCTCCCTTCCAACCTTACCCATTCTGTGACTGGGAATAAAGGTGAGGAGAGCCTGCCACTATTGCAGGGTTGTCCAGTGCCTCAGGCCCCCCAGCCAGGAGGGCCCATGAGAAACTATGTGGCTGCATGGTTCCTGGGAAAGCCTGTCCTTGCCCAGCAAAAGCTCAGCTCTGCTCCATCACCCCTGATGCTTCTTCACAGAATCACAGAATGGTTGAGGTTGGAAGGGACCTCTAGAGATCAACTATTTGTCCTTGTTCCAGCAGGGATGCCCAGAGCACGGGGCACCCGGTTGCATTCAAGCAGGGTTGGAAGATCTCCAGAGAAGGAGACTCCACAGCCTCTCTGGGCAGCCTGTGCCAGGGCTCTGGCACGTTCGCAGGAAAAGTTCCTCCTCGCATGGAGGTGGAGCTTCCTGTGTTTCAACTTGCGCACATTACCCCTTGTCCTGTCGCTGGCCACCACCAAGAAGAGCCTGGCCCCATCCTCCCTACAATCACCCCTCAGGTATTTGTACATGTTGATCAGATCCCCTCTCTGTTTTCTCTTCTCCAGACTAAACAGGCCCAGCTCTCTTCGTCTTTCCTCATAAGATAGATGCTCCAGTCTCTTCATCATCTTCTTACCACCAATACTCAAACCAGCTTAAGCATTGCCCAAGGCCAAGCAGGGAATCTGAGGCACAGAGCACTGCTGCTTCTGCTCACCCTGCAGCCAGCTCCTGACACACAGGAGACCTTGTGCAGCCCCTGCTGTTCCCTGGCTTGTGAGATAGGGAGGTGACTGCACCAGCGACCTGGAGAGTTCCCCATTCACCTCTCATAACGGCAAGTCCAGAGTGGCACTAGGCTTGTGGCAGTGCCAGACATTGCCAGTGCAGGGCTCAGCTGCTTGCCATGATCAGAGAAGAGAGGGCACAGCCCACACAAAGCCTGGGAGAGCTCTGCACCCTGAAGAAAGAGAAAGTAGGGGGAGGTGCAGCATGCCCTGCAGTTTATCAGTACTCAGCAGTCCTGTGCAACCTGAAGAGGGGACAGCACCAGGCTTTGATCTCTCTGGCAGTTGTGGCTCTGCTGGCAAAGCATTGCCCCAAAGGCAGGCCAAAGCACTTGGCTCATGCTGCACCTTCCTCTGTCCTGCTGGAGGTGAACA